AGAGTGCACTAAGAAAATGTACACAAATTTTAAAAATGGAAAAAGCTGTATTAAATTACGATACTGTTTATTTTGTAAAATTTTAAAATTTTTGTATGCATTCTGCCTTTTGAATAGCACTTGGGTACACTGAATCTCATGGTTCAGTTTTCTAAGAATGATATATATCCGGAATCTCAACAAGTTTCAATTTAGGCAAATTAAAACATTTTGAATTTATGTGAGAAGTACTATAGTTGTCAATTTTGAAGGCAGAATTATACCATATTTTCCAAAGTATTAAAAGGAAAAGGAGTTATCCTTGGAGTGTTTTACAATTCTTAAGAAATCAATTCTTGCATGATGAATAATTCTAGGCCCAACCCTGAACTGTAACCATTTTTAAAGTAAAAAAAAATTAAAAAAAAGAAAGTCAGTTGCGTGTTTTACAACTTTCATTTATTTATTGATTGAATTATTTATTTTAATTTTTAAAAATTTGGAGTACAATTCAAAGTTACATATACAAATATTGATTAAGCAAGGTACCGGGGCAGCCTCGACCTGCTGGGCTCAGGGGATCCTTCCGCCTCAGTCTTCCAAGTAGCTGGAACCACAGATGTGTGCCACCACACCTGGCTAATCTTTTTATTTATTGTAAAGACAAGGTCTTGCCAAGCTACCGAGGCTGGTCTCAAACCCCTGGGCTCAGGCAATCCTTTTGCTTTTGCCTCCACCTTCCAAAGTGCTAGGATTACAGACATGATCCCTGTGTCCAGCTGGAAACCTAATTTTCACACAAACTTCTTAACCCATATATCATAAGGCTCCTAATCTTGATATCAACAATCATATCCAATAATAGTACATAAATAAGCCTAGACAAGTGAGTAACTGGTATAAGAAAACCTAATAGCAGACCTTAGAGTCTCGTGACTCAGAATCAGTATCTATTACCTATCTTTCAGCCTACCCTTTATATCACAAAGTGTGTTTTCAGCTTAATTAACACTCTTCAAACACTACATGGTGAACTGTCAACGTCGCACACTTTCTTGCAACATAAATTTAGGTTTCAATTTATTAGGCTCTGAAATTTTAATGTTTAAACAGCACAACTGTCCATAAGACCATATTCCATAATATAAACAAGAAAAGTCATTCTATCAATATTTTAATTGTCCTTACATTTCTCTTTACATATATTTAACATAAATAGTACTTTTTTTTTAAAAGCAAAGGAGCCCTTTTGTGAACAAAATTAAACAAACTCAACAACAATTCATAGTATAACAAAGAATGACTTAATTACGGTTGCAAACCTTTGAGAAGCTTGTTCAGTAGCTGATCAGAGTATTTCAGGGCTCCAAGGTGAGCAAGAACTTGAGGTAGTCTATAGTCAGCAAACATGGTGATACTGGAGATGTCCTTAAAGCAGCCATCTCCTTTTCCTTCTAGTACACTCCACGTATCTGCTACAAGGATTTGGGCTCGTTTGTAAAAAGAAACTCTTTTCCCCTGATGAACAAGAGAATATAAATGTTATCTGAAAGTTTTATGTGTACTATTTTTTTTTAGTTGGAGTCTTACTCTGTCACCCGGGCTGGAGTGCGGTGGCATGCTCACGGCCACCACAGCCTTGACCTGCTGGGCTCAAGCAGTCCTCCCACCTTGAACTCTCGAGTAGCTGGGACTACAGGCACACACTACCATGCCAGGCTAATTGTTTTATTTATTGTAGAGATGAGGTCTCGTCAAGTTGCCCAGGCTGGTCTTAAACCCGTGGGCTGAGGCAATCCTCTCACCTCGGTCTCCCAAAGTGCTGGGATTATAGGTGTGAGCCACCGTGCCTGGCCTATATGTACTATTTTCAAAAAGCACACGCACAAAATGTTTTTCAAGGCCAGACTAATTTTACTCTGTTGATAAAAATGTATAAAACTTTTACAGAAAACAAAAGGATTTAATAAACATTAAGTTATCTCTATCACTCCAAATTGTTTCCTATTTTTTTCTAGGCACATAAAATACTATTTCTGTAATCCTGGGACTATTTAGTATTCTTTTTCTTTTCTTTTTTTTAGAGTTGGAGTCTCACTCTGTTGCCCAGACTGGAGTGCAGTGGCCGCTCCCGGTCACCGCAACCTCGACCTGCTGGGTTCTGGCGATCCTTCTGCCTCAGCCTGCCAAGTAGCTGAAATTACAGGCGCGTGCTCCCACGCCTGGCTTATTTTTTGATTTATTGTAGAGATGAAGTCTCGCCAAGTTGCCCAGACGGGTCTTGAACCCGCGGGCTCAGGCAATCCACTCACCTCAGCCTCCCAAAGGCACGGGATTACAGGCTGAGCCACCGAGCCTGGCAGTATTCTTTTTCAATGACATTACTTCGTATATATATTTATTTATACATAACGCAACTGCTTATTTTTTTAAATGTCTAGATAGTATTCCTTTTTAAAGTTTCTTAAACTTAAAAAATATTTTTCTGATAGCAAATAATTTACATTAATTGTATAAAATATGGGAGGCTGAGGTGAATGGATTGTCTGAGCCCGCGGGTTCAAGACCTGCCTGGGCAACTTGGCGAGACCTCATCTCTACATTAAATCAAAAAAT